GGATCCAGAAGCTGGCTTTGTGGATGATTATTATTCCAACTATAATAGTTATTCTTGCATCTCTCTTATAAGAACCAGCTCTAGGTGACATTGTGAAGAAGGCCAGTGTGCTGCAATGAGGCTTGTGGGCTTCTTTTTCTATGCGTATCTTTTATTTCATCTTGCAAGTCAGTCCTTGTTCCGTGTTCTTTGCTACACCATGAGAGTCCTGAAAGCTCATAAGAGGTAGGCTTATGCATCGAGGTGCCCCTGTGGCACATGGCACAGTGCCTGGCACACAGGAGGAGCCCCACCAAGGTTTTAAAGATTGAAAGGCTTTGAGGTGTAATTTAAGTAGAGCTGGCTCCTCCACCTTGGTAGATGACATCATTAGAGTCTCAAATGTAAAAAAATCTCATTCCCAGCAACTTCCTGCTGGGACAGGGTGGAGAATGAGAGCTGTTCAGGAGGGTTCTCTTGTATGGCCCTTCAATCCCTATGACTTGAAAGTCTCTCCCACCCCACCTCATTCTGTCTATCAAAGTTATTTGCTAATGTTCTCTAGCCTACAATTGCTTTCCTAATTCCCATGATCACATTTTTTTCCTTCCTTTTCCAGTCCCCCAAACTCTATGTGTAGTGTATATGCAAAGATGTTCCTATACATAAAGTCACTAGATCTACCACACTGTATTAGGCCTTATATATTTGTCTCCTCTAATCCCATAACACTAAGTCACTATTGATTTAAAGCTGCATTCTAACTTGGATACAGCCTTTCAGCAAAAGAAAAGAATTAAAAATACACAGAAAATAAAAATATGCTATGCAATACTACAACAGCAACATAATATTGCATAAGAGAAACAATAACTAATGCCCTAGAGAATCCACCGTGTATCAAACTCAGTGCCTTAAGATGATGCATCAAGTAATTCAACTCTTACCACTTCTCTGTATGGCCTAGTCTATCTTCTAGCTTTGTGATCACCAAGGAGCAGAGGCCGAGCTTCTGACAAGCTCATGTAGTGAGAACATGGATGAAATCAGGCAGGTCAACAGAGCACCCTTTAAAAAATTATAGCACCTTATATACACTTTATGTGTAAACAAAATACAGCACACAAATCGCATCTGTAAAACTTGATGGATGTTTACACATAGAAAACACCCACATCAGGAACTCAGACATTTCAGTTCCACATCAACCTCGTCTTGCTCCCCTGACTCACTCTGCCCTCTGTCACCCGGTAACCCCCATCCTTTCTTCTGACATCATATATGAATTACTTTGTTTCTTTCTCTATATAAATAAAGATCTCCTTTTGTGTCTGGCTTCCATAGTTCATTATATTTCTGAGTTTTATTGACAGTGACATGTGCGATGGCTGTAGGCACTATATTCAGCATTTAATAGCATTCTATTGTTTACTCTTCCACAGTATATTTCTCTACCTGTTTGCTTCTGATGGACATTTGCATTTTCTCCCTAGCTTTTTGGCAGAAGATGGGCGCTACTATTGGTATTCCTGAATACAGTATTGATGGTGTCACACAGAAGTGCATGTAATAGATCCATGTTTCCATTAGGTGATTTATTAGGAGTGAAATTAGTGGATTACAGAATATGTGCATGCTCAACTTTGGAAGATACACAGTGACCAGACTAACTTACATTTCCATCCTATGGGTATGAGAGTTTGGTTGTTCTATCTAGTTACCAACATTTGTTATCATGACTTGTTTTAAATTTGGCCACCACATAGGTAGAGCCTCTGAGTTGGATGCTAGTTTGTCCCAGCATAAGATTCCATACTTTCCTAGTTATTTGTCATCGACTAAAAAACAACAACAACAAGATATCAAGCAGCAAAGCACTTAAGTTTGCCTTCCTGATGCCACTCGAAGGCTTAACCTTTTCTTTCAAATTCTGCTCTTCCACACAGTCGCTCCCCTACCTGCTCTGTTATTCTATGGCATATTATTGGCTATCTATAATTATGATCTATTATTTATTAATTTCTAACATAGCATCGAACTGAAATGGAGCAGTTCTTTTAACACCCATGATATGCTTGCCTGGGCAATGTCATGTCAAACAAGTTTTATTAGTGCAGCTTGGGAAACTAAACCTCCAGAGCACAGATTCTTTTGAATGGTGATGATTACAACCCTTTATCCACTCTCACAGTGAAACTAACAGGCATGTGTGAGATAAGATGAAGGTGAGTCCTAAAAGGCTGCCTGCGATTGCTCCAAGCCATGGTGAAAGGATGCAGGCATGCCAAGCAAGATGATCATTTAGTGCCCTAATCAAACCAACATCCTTCAAAATCTGTACCATTTCTGCTTCAAAAGAGCATCTGACTGGTTTGTGGAGAAAGGGTTGAAAAGGATGAGCAACTGCTGCAGAATATCACCCCCTCTCCCATTCTGAGCAACCCTGCTCAGGTCCCAACTTGGGGGTAACCAGGCACAGCATTGTTAGAGGAATCAACTATTACTGTATTAATGCCCCTCAAAGTCCTCATCCCTTTCAATTTATTCCAGTAATCTCCTAAGTCCAGCCATCCTCTCCCTGAAATGCATTCTGAACGCACTGCTCTCACGTTCTTTACATTTCCAAAGGTGTTTCTAAGAATCTCTGTAAGTTGCCATTCTGGGCCCCCCCTTGGCTAACTTTCTATTTGCCATAGTCAGAGCAGAGCAGAAAGGGCCCAGGGGTCACACTGCAGATCCCTGTGGTTCAGGAGTGTGGCAGGCCCAACCTTTCCAACTCTGCCTTTGCTGTCAGCATCAGCTTCTACCTGAACTCTACCAGGGAGGGTGAGAATTTCAGTTCATCTAAACTGGGTGAATAATAACATGAAGTATATTATGTATCCATGTTAACTTATATTATTAATCATCTCAACAACTCTTGGGAGCTATTTCAATAAAGCAGTTGAAACCTGGGTTCTGAAGCTGAGGGATCAAGGGTTGAGGCATGTTTTCATCACTCACTAATGAAGGAATCACTTGTAAGATTCTGATTTTTTTTTTTAATTTGAAAAATGAAAATAATAATATCATCACTGCTTGGGGTTGATGTAAGGATCAATATGAAATAATGTTAGGAAACTGTTTGGCACCTAGAAAATGATCCAGGGATAGGAGTCACTATTATTACAGTCTGAGAAAGCTACTGCTCTTATTTCCATTTTGCAAATAAATATATAGAAAGTCGATTTTTTTCTTATTTTATTAATAGAAATTTATATATATATATTTTTTTCATTACTGTTCACTTGAAAACAATGTTTACTTCTCATGCTCCCCCCCACACACACACTTTGCCCACCTGTCATCACCATAGTCCAGTCCACCATTGCTAGTGGGAGTGAAACTGTCCAACCACTATGGAAAACTGTATGGAGATTCCTCAGACTACTAAAAATGGAGCTACTATATGATCCAACAACTCCACTCCTAGGGGTCTGCCCAAACGACACAAAAACATTAACTGAAAAGGACAGATGCACCCCTATGCTTATCGCAACACTGTTTACAATAGGTAAAACCTGGAAACAACCCAAATGCCTAAAACTAGATGACTGGGTGAAGAAGATGTAGTATATATACACTATGTAATACTAGTCAGCCATCAAAAAAATACCAAGTTGAATTTGACCAAGATCACACAGCTAGTTTGTGGTAGAAATCGAATTTCAACTCCAGTGCTAACATCAGCCAGTCTGACATCTGCGCTTCACTGAAATCACAAATCCAATGTCAAAAGTACAGGATTTTGAGGAAAGCTAGTAAAGACTTTCACTTAGCTGACTTCAGAAAAGATCATCATGTATCTTTGAGAATACTCCTTCAGCCAGATGGTCTTAGCTCCATCTTTAAAATGTATAATGCATAGCAACCTTAAAAATGCTTTACTAAAATCTCATCTACCTCAGTTCTACCAAAAATGGAAATAATGGTAATCTACTATGAATCTGTGTGTGTGTATGTGAAACCATCTTCGTTCTTAGTAATTACCACTTCGTTGCCTAAGTGTTATGGCTTTCATAATCGATTCTTTTGTAAACTACTTCTTTTGCAAACTATCAAGAGTCTGAAAACTCACATTAAGTTCATGCTTCATGAAGAGTTAAGAAAAGGTGATAATAAACAGACTGTAAAATAGGAGAGCTGGTTCCTAAAACAGTAGACAATATGTGGGTAAAACCCAAAAGTCAATCAGAGTCCATTTTTGTTAACATTCACATTTCTAGACTCTTTCCCCTAATCAGACCTCAAAGGGGGGGGGGGTTGTTTCCACTAGGAAACTCCAGAATAGTGCTAGGGTCATTTCTAAGACCTCTGGTTTAATTAAATCAATAAACATTTAGTAGACGTCCAATATATGCTGAGAACTGGGGATTAAAAAGCTGAATAAATTATTTTCTTAGACCTTGAGAGATTTGCCACATAATGGGACAGAATGATATGTAAGCAGCTGATTAAAACACAGTAGAGCACATCCAGAAAGAAATTACCAACTAGGAGCACAATGTGTAAAACAAGACATGGCTTCACCCATTCATGAGCGAAGTACACAGCATTCGACTTGGACATTAACACTAAGGACTAGGCCAGTTTCTATTTCCAGCAAGATTCACAACAAAAAGAACTTCATTCTCTAATGGCTCACCTTCACCACTACCTCATATCCTATTAAGTAATGGTTTTCAATGAGATCAGATCACTAATGATCCTGGGATGAACCAGAAGAAGTGTTAATCTCTCTCCTAGTTCATAAAAACCCCAAAGGAGAGTAATAATGATGAAATATAAACCACTGAGGCCCTCCAAGGGAGTACACATTTATGAGTATGGATCTGGGGGGACTTGAGAATGTTTTCTACACCAGCTACTAGGCAGCTGGCCCCTTCCATCTGAAGATTCTTCTTGGGGACCTAAAACAGAAGCAGAAATGCTTCTGGGCTCCAAGAATTCCTGCTATCACATGCTGGAGATGGCTTCCCTACCTGACATCCGCAGGGTCTTCGGTGACGAGCACGTCAGTCTTGCAGCTGGCCAGGGGGTTGATGGACAGCTCCACAGGCGGAACCACAAAGCTTTTGCTGACAGGAAGCCACAGTCCTTGGCCCAAGCTGAAAGTAGACCTGCAATGTAAGAGTTTCCATTGGGGAACTCTCTGGGAAGCAGAGAGAAAACAAAGGGGCCCCTCCTCCCAAGCCAACTGGGACTCTTTCTCACTCCCCTCCCCCCAATGAGCCCCTGCAACTCCCAGGCACAGCTTTGGCTAAATTGGCCCGGACTTAAACCTGTTAGTGTTTTACCCCATACATGGTTCTGAATGGCTGGCCTTTCTGGATTACAGGTTCTGGCTCCTCCTTTGGGGAACTCTGAGGACAGCAGTTGTTTCAGTTCTGCATTCCCAAGCAGTCCTGCTATTCAGCCAGGTGCCAGAGTGACTGCTAAGTCAGCAGGGGCATCTGCACGAATGTTGGGAGCCTGGACTCTGAATCAATGCGAATCAAAATCTGACTCCAGTTCTGCTACTTAGTCGGCTGTATGACTTTATCAGCTTCACACAAGAGTTCAAGGGGGTGGCAGGCAGAAATTCTGTGATTACAAAATATGTTTTAATCCGCTGGACTAGGTAATCAGTCATGTGCCCTCTAGCTCACGTCTCTGAGTCTGTACATCTAGATGACAGACAGAGGGAAACCACCTTCCTGCTGCCACCTGGCCATGATGGTACACTCAGGCCCGTGACACTTCCCTGGTTCCTGTGGCATATAGGTTCATAGACTTGATTAACTGGAGGAAGGTGCATGCCTATACCCTCTGCGCTGACTCATTCCCCACCCCCGTCACCCCCAAAATGACCAACATGACTGTCAATTCACCTGAGAATCTTTTCAGGGGCTTGCTCCCCTGTCACCAGGTCGTACCCCCTCTCGAGTGTCGTGTAAGGCCACGGTCTGTAGGGAGAACAGAAGGGGGTGGGGAAGAAAGGAGTTAAGACTTGATATCCATTGGAAGTTGCTAGATACACAGGTGGACACTGCTTAAGTGCAGTTTTACAGATAACTAAATTGTGCAGAATTAATTACTGAGTAAGACTATTTCTATAATAAAAGAAGCTATTTCATAGAAGGGTTCAGCACTTTAAAGTTCCCATGTTCATTTGGGGTTTATGGACAAAAACCTGATTCTCTTTATTTGTCCATTAATCCCCAGGAGATGAGAGGGAGAGTTAAACTTCAGCCTTTCGTCTCTAGAAGACTCATCAATCCTGTGCCTTTAATATGAAAATGTGATTTCCTGGAAAATAGGATTCACTTCCCAGGGCTTTTTCAGGAACCCAACTGTTGCAAAGAAAGACCTCTCTTTGTGGAGCAGTTTTGAGGGGCGTTCTCCACTCTCCCTGCCCCTAAGCCCTTTGCCACTCACCCTTCACTCTGTCCCCAGTCATTGCGCACACACAGGTGTCTGTGAACTGGGTCAGGGGCGTAACCTTCATGGCAGCTGCATTCGCCTGTCAGCAAAGAGAGAAAAGAAGCTTGTGAAATTCTGTCCTTCCATCAGCTCCTCCCCAGTCGACTTGTTTTCTTAGAAAACAAAGTGAGACGCACAGTTTTAGAGACTCCCTTAGGCAGGGGCTGCCCTGGTCCACCAGTCACTGTGGTTAAGTTTATTCACCTGTGCACCTGTTCACTTATTCAGTGAGTCCAGACACTGATAGGACCCCTGCTCTACCCTGACAATGCGGAGATCAAAGGTGCAACCTGGGTGTGGGAGGCACTGGTGGCTGCATAAGGGAGAGAGGTAGCTGCCCATTGGTGAGTTATGAGAAGAACCTCTGCACTAAACGCACAATCAGAAAGCTGAGTCATTTCCACCTGAGTGAATATGTCACATTTATCCCGAAGTGCTAAATCAAATGCCACTTCCTCTAAGGTAACTCTGATATCTCCTTTTGGAAACATTGATTTCACCTACCATTTCCAGATTTTATTTTGTTTCGCTGGTGTTGCTGTGTGTTTCAATGGTCTTCCTCTCCTTTTCATCATTCTCTTCTTTTATCTCTAGTTTCTATCCCAACCATCCACCCACCCATCTGTCGTCCATCCATCATTTGTCCATCCGTTCACCCATCGATCCGTTTTCTCATTGATCCATCTATCCATCCATCCATCCATCCTTCCATCCATCCGTCCGTCCATCCGTCCATCCATCCATTTATCTGTCCATCCAACCAAGTAGCTGTCCATCCACCTCTGTATCCATGCATCATTCTCCTCTGACCATAGCTTACAGTGGTTGCACGGTAATTGCTAACATTGCACACTGCCTTATATAGTCTTATATAGTCTCCAGTTGGCTATATAGTTTCCAGTTCACTAAGCATCATTTTGGGTGCTGAGCACATGTCTTATTCCTACTTTATCTTCAAAATCCAGAATCCTGGAAAGATTGCCAAAAGCTCTCTGCTCTAGGCCCTAGTTGCTATCAATCCTGCTTGGGTGACTACTCCTTAAGGCTCAGGAATATGATTCACTTAATGATCTGTTTTCCTCAAGTGTATGTGTGGAATTTTTTGAGATGTTTTACTAAAAACTAAGTCAACAAAATAAAAATTGATTGGGAAACACCACTTGTGGAAACAGTGGTGTGTGGTTCTTTGTAAGAGTGGCACCGTTGTTCTCGAGCTTATTTCATCTTGGGAGGATTGTTGGTGGAACAAGTTAAAACATTGGTGTTCTATGGAATACACTTTTGGAAATATTGGTGAGAACTGGCTTAGCTCCAGTCTAGAACAGAGTAGATATTCAACACTGGCAATTGAATGAATAATTAACTCTCTTTTATGGCTCATGAATTCCCAGACTCTTGCTGTCAGGTTGTCTTCTATCACTCATCTGGCAATCACACCCAGATGGCCCAGTGCCTCTTCAGTTCTACAATGACCCAGAGTGACCTGACCCAAGAGTTTCTGACACTGTACCATGCATGGATTGGTCCTTGGGGAAAATAGTGACAGTCTTTGTGGCTTTCAGATTTTAATTTTCTTTGAAAATTTTTAGCTTGAAATCTCTCAAACAGTAAAAAACTGTAAACAACAAGCCAACCCAAAGGCTAAACATCCAAGGGTTATATGGGGGAACCAGGACATGACCAGCAAGCATAGTCCCACTAACTCCAGGTGTTGGGTAAATTTACTTCATGCAGACCTCATTTAGAAACAAAAATCTCCTGTCATCTCTTCTTTCATTGAGAAGATATGGAAGCCCTGAGCTGTGGCACTGACAAGCTCATGCTATATACAACTACACGTCTGTGGATCAAGGTTTCCTCCACCCTGTGTGACCAAAGAAAAACACACAGTTTGAGTATGATCCCAGGTTATGCAGCTTCCCTAACCATCCCCTGCAATGTCTGAATTCAAAATGTCTATGTTCATCAAACAATCATATTGCTTTCACAGAGTCACTCAAAGTGTTATGCAATGTACATTACACAAAGTGTAATACTCTATCTTGTTTTGCACATTACAGCACGATTAGGTCTTTGTATCCCTGGTACTAGCAAGTAGCTGGCAAATAGATCAGGCTTAAAACAGGGTGGTAAAGCTAAAATAACAGTTAGACAGCATGGAATAAAGATGGTCTTTGCAATATTCAGAATAAGGTGGTTGAAAGACAGAAGGGGTGATGGACAGGAGAGAGAGGGGAGAGATCTGTTTCCTCTTACTGGATACCTGGTACCTATGGGCAGGGGGCTGCTTGCAAGAAGGAGAGAAGGAGCCCTTGCTGAATTTTCCTTCAAAATTGCACAGGGGTCTGGCACAGACAGTGTGTGCTGTCAGTGTGTGTAACCTCATGGCTGCTGGAGGTAAGGGAAACAGAGGGGAAGGGGCTGAGATCCTTGAGATTTGGATGAGAATAATTTACTAAAGGGGGGCAGGGTAGGAATCACTAACGATGTGTTAAAATGCAACAGTCCCTTCATGAAATATTCACCACTTTAAACACGTCTAATATTAAAGATTAAAAGTCCTGAGATTTGTCCTCGAGACTCCCAGGACTGATTTATGATCTGCCACCACCCACGGCCTGCATGATTCATAATGGGAGAGGTAAAATGGTTACCTCTGGCCAAGGGACAGGAAGTCAGACTGGGGGAGGGCGAAGCAGGGGCCAGGAAAGGAGGGGTTTTTTTGTTTATGGGGAGGACAAAGACTGAGGCTCTTTTAGGAATGAGCACTGGTCGCACCCCTTCCCCCCAGTTCTCTCCTTGGGGGAATATTAGTGAGAATGAGGAATCTATATAGAATAAAAGGTGCTATTCTCTAGCCCTCTTTCTGTGTGCTTACTATGCAAGTTCCCTCTGCCTTGGAGAGGATCATTAATTGCTGACACTCATTAAACAACAAATATGTATTTGGCAGGCGAGATCACCCACCCCGAGGCCAGCAAGGCTATTGGTGTCCACTGGAGGGGGCGGGGAAGCACCTGTCTGTAGAGGAGGACAGGTCTGTCCTCGCAGGCTGGCTTCCTAGCTCTGTGATCTTAAGGGATAGTTTTCACTTTCTTGGGGCCTCAGTTTTCTCATCAACAGAGAGCAGATGTAAGAGTAGGTGGAAGCAGGGCAGGGGAGCTGCCCGTCAGTCAGTGTCTTCTTTCCTTTTATTCAAGACAGACACTGGGTTCTGAGAGATGCTGACAGAAGATCCCTGGGGACACTGGATTGTCTCCTCCTTGCTGGTCCCCAGTTTCCCCATCTATAAAGTGGAGTAAACGATCCTCGATTCTTAGCACCAACTAGTCAGTCACTTGCTTTTGTGGATCTGTAACCTCTGCTCTCTGGACACCGTTGTTTTAGACTTCCTGGGGATGACTCTTAGCTTGGGCGCGATTTCTCAGGCAAGATCTCCATCACTGACACAGCTATCGGTTTTATTGACTCCATTTCCTATTTTGCTGGCTCAGCTTGCTCTCCACTATTTGCAACCAGACACTTCCTGTTTGCTGGATGCAAGCCTCTGACAGCCAGAGGTGAGAATTAACCCCTTCTCTGGGTGAATCCTGTGGTGAGAATTAACCCCTTCTCTGGGTGAATCCTTTCCTCACTCCTGCCTCTAGTTCCCCAGAGCAGTCAGACTGTCCAAGAGCGCTCCAGGGACACAGGTTCCCAGCTTTGCAGGTGCTCACTGTGAGTCTCCGTGTGCCCTTACACTGCAGCTACAGCAGAAGGAACTACAAGGAGGGACTGAGCCCAGCCTGCTTCCTGAGCCCAGCACCTACCACATTGCCCAGTCCATAGACACCCAGAGGGTAGATTTCACAGTAGTAATGCCGATTTCAATGGGATAGGGAAGTATGTGTTTGAATTTCCCTTTCTTCTTCAGTAAATGGGAGTTTACAGGCTACAGAATCCTTTTATTAATCATCTCTGCATTCTAATAATTAATAGAATGTTCTGCAGTATGGCAGGTGACTCACTGGATGGATGGATGGATGGATGGATGGATGGATGGATGGATGGATGGATGGATGGATGGACGGACGGACGGATGGACAGATGAGTGGATAGGTGGATAGATGAAGCAGTAAATACATAATTTTCATGAATTCGGGTTGTGTTTCTTTAAAATAATGGTGTTTCTGTTGAAAACTGGAAGAAACTTTTTTTTGCATCCATGACAGGTATTGGCCAAGGAAATGGAAAGTATAAACATGAATGCTGATGGAATGTCTAAAATAGAATTGCATTTTACATCAGAGCAGAAGAAACTTACAGATCATTTAGTTCCAATCCAGTCTGCTTCATTTGCAGAAGGGGAGACTCAGCTTCAGGGAGTGAAGACATTTGTCTGAATCCCAGGCTAAGTCTCTGGTCAGGATTAGAACCCTGGGGTGTGGGTCACTGTGCTGGGCCCTGATACTCTCACTACTTCAATTCAACCAGCAACATTTTTCTAGGAATCTTTTTTTCCACTGTCCCCCTACATTTCCTATATTGAAAATGCATGACATTTACACACAGGAATTATTTTTAAACGTCTCATGAATCTGAAATATCTTTAATAAATTAGTGACATACATTTGTGTGTGATTGAGAATACAAACCCTAAGAAAGAATTTAATCTCTTCATTAAGATGACTCCCACAAGAGAATTCAATTAAGTGGATTTTACCGTGCTAGTTGCTAGAACTCTGTCTTATCAGCTGTAGGTAAGTTGCACTGGTTTTAAAATATTTACCCTTTATGTCTCCTAGGTCCCATTTATTGTGTTCTCATTTCATTTTTCAAGCATTCTCACTCTGTGACTCCTGGGTAAAACAACAGAATCCCTCAATTATGAAAGATCTGTTTATCTTGTGTCAGACCCCCCTGTACCACTTTACCATGGACAGTGCTTCAGCTACCCTATGTGATGTGTGCTAAAAAGTGTGGTCCTACAATCTTGAGCAGAGTGCTCTGGATTCTGCTGCCACGAGAATCCGTCTGAACTTGACCAAGTTGCTTTGCTCT